CTTTTATGTAACCATGTTTAACTGTCTTCCTTATCTTTCCCATGCCCACAAGCACATATTTGCTAGTTTTATACAGAAATTAACAAAGACATAATAAACATTTATGTTTATTTGTGGGCAGCACTATGCGTATATTCATTATCTTGTTATGTCATTTATACATACGTCACTTGAGGCTTGCAGTCTATTCCTCCGTTTCATTCTATCCTTTTGGCCACCATGGATGTAATCAAGTCTAATATTTAGCTTCTTGCATCAATATTTTCCTTAGTTTCTTTCTGCTATCTACTTTTATGTGCATGCAGATATATTTTGCAGAAACATCAGAAGCAGTCCATACCAGGTGATGGATGGATCTGAATGTAGATCTACATCTACGTACGTATACAATCCTAACCAGAACCAGTCCTTACTGGCACAAGAAACCTCAGCCATCAAGTCCCAAAACAATCTGATAGAGGAATACAATTCTTGAAGTTAAGTGTTGTGGTGGACAACCCCCCCAAAAAAAACACACAAAAACCCTGAGGTTTCTGATCAATCATCTTTAAGTACAACTTACACATTGGGGGATGGGGGGTGTGTGTGTGTATGCATGTGTGTGTGCTCGCGCGTGCACATGTGTGTGCATTAACAGTTAAACGAATCAGTAGTTATCAGTCTCAAAAGGGAGAAGCTAATGTGCAAAACAAAACAGCCATATTAGTATCAAGGATATGATTAAGACTGGTCAGGCTTTCATTAAAAAAAAAAACTGCACATAAAGACACACCTTATGAGGACTCCATCAGAAGATAACACCAGACACTGTCTGTTCAAACTGCAAGAGTGCACAGACGCACTACACTTAATGATAAAACTAAGAACATGAACACCAAACATGGAGTATTTGTTCTAGAAAGAAACTAAGAGTTATCCCCCTTGAAATTTGAGACAATTAATTGCTTGTCCTAGTTAAGTAAAAAATTACACTCCCCTGAATAATTGTACAAATATAGGTGCTGATAATAACACTAGACTGCAGACCTTCCATGTTTACATTATGTGCTTACCATTTGCCCATCTAGAAATTGACACAGCTAAGTGAAACAATGCACTGTAATTACAACATGAACTCTGCACACACTGGTCCAGTAGGCATAATTGATCTACTGACATTCAAGCTACACAATGTTTCTGATATCAAGCAGATTTAATCTATTAGCTACAGCACCTTAACAATGTGATGATAATCCAGGCAATCACTGAGGCATCACAGAATTTGATAATACTAATATTTACAATTAATGTCACAGACTAATATTTTATTTTTTGTGTGTCTGTAATTTTTTTAACTTTGTTCCAAAAAGTAACAATCCTGGTTTATTTCTAATAGTAATTTCTAATAATTAATGATAAATAACAAATAATTTCCTACTGAATTTTTTTTTTTTTTTTGTTTGTTAGTTATATATGGAAATGTCAGCTAATATTTTGCATACTGAAAAAATTAATTTATATTTTATTTCAGTTTAAAAATGTTTCGAGAATTGTTGCAAAATGTACTGACTTCTGCATGTTGACTAAGAACAGTTGCTGTTTTACTGGCTATCTCATCTGCTCAGTTATGAGCACATGTTCAAAAGGATTAGTGTTGGCTGCTTGAGCTTCTACGCTCCACTGGGAGATACAAGACAGTTTTTTTGGTTTTTCAAAGGGCATAATTTAGGCATAGCCCAGCACAAAATACCCCCAAAAATTGTGGCTTACAACTAAAGATAACACTGAGACACAAAAGAAGAAGAAAGAACAACATTTTTTTTAAACAGAGCTAACAGGGAATATATGATGGAGATTATGAAAAAAAACATATATTCAAGATTTAAGAAGAACAGAGAAAAAAAAAACAATGGGAGAATAGAGTATCAGGGACAGTTTAAAAAAAAAAAAAAAATCATGAGTCAGTGGAGAATAAAAATGAAGTCTAAGTAAGCAGGGATAAACCTGAATAAGGGTGATGGGATGCTGAGACAGCTGAAACAGTAAACTTGATGACCAACATAATTACTACTCTCCCAGTTGTAAGATCAATATCCCAAATCAATAGAATCAGTAACGATACTAATTATTTATTCAAACTGCTCTAGAAATGTACAGTCAATAGTCCATGTTTACAGTGCTAGCAAAAGCTCAAATTAGTGAAAGTTTCTTTCAAACCCAATTAATGACCAAGTATAAATACAAACACAAAGAGAACATTCAAAGCTAACAATCCCTAATCTCAAGTAATGAATGTAAAAAAATAAAAATAATGGTATGACTATTTTAGGTAAATTAACCTGCTACATTAATTGCTACTCTGTCATATATATGATAATTGCTACTCTGTCATATATATATATATGATAATTGCTACTCTGACATGCAGATGATGTTTTGTATATTAAACAAGGGAATTTGTGGGCTTTTTTTTTCTTTCACATTAATATGAATCTTTGTTTTGCTGCTGTCTCACTTCATTTGTGAATTATGTTACTGAAAGTATATTCAGTCTAATTATTTAAGGCAATAATCCATTTGCTTTGCAGACATACACTAATGATTCATTGATGAAAAACAAACACAAAATGTAAAAGACTGTTCAGCCGTTACAAGATGCTGAAACTATAAAATATTTACAAACTGAAATGCTGCAACAACGACAACAAAACCATACACACAATACATATTACACAATTACTTGATGACTTTAGCAGCAATAAATGGGATGAAAATTAAAAACAGAAACCCACAGAAAGCTGTGTTTAGATTAAAAACATCCATGACTGTTATGCATGAAAATTACAATAAAGTTAAGACTGAAAGACAAATTCTGATTTTACATATGTGCAAGACACAGGTATTCTTTTAGTGTGTTCAACAAACAACTTCAGACAGCTGTGTACATAACAGCACATCAGTATCCCAGCACAAACTAATGTCCATCTCTCTGCACTCATAATGCACACAGGCAAACAATAACATCACAGGAGGATCCACTCTGTAAACACAATTCTTGTCATTCTCTCTTAACACAACTATGATTCAAGATGCTCATAGACAACAGATAACACCATCGCAAATAAACATTCTAAACGCACAATTTGTCCCTTCTCTCTGTACACATTTATTTCTTAAAATGTCGAAAGATAACAGATAACATCACCATTAAGTTAAAATCGAAACATGCAATTTGTCCTTTCTTTCTGTACACACTTATGCATTACAAAGTACAAAGATAACTGATAAAATCACTATACTTCAACATACAAAACACAATCTGTCCATTTTCTCTGTACACACGTATGTGTCAATATGTACAAAGATTACATTATTATACTCCAACATTTGAAACACAATTTTTCCAATCTTTGAGCACACAATTATGCATCAAAATGTACACAGACAACAAATAACATCAGCAGAAATAAACATTCCAAACAAATTTGTCCTTTCTCTCTGTACATGGTGATGCCTTAAAATGTACACTATGCTCACATTCTATGTACAAAGACAATTTTTTGGTGCAACATTTATTATAATAACCATGCTAGTCAACATAAGGGCAACACTTCAGGCTATCCATCTAATAACTGTCCCAAACTATCGAGGCCGAAAATATCCCCTAACAGGGCCTCAGTCACATGTAAATTGCCCCCCCCCCCCCTCAACAAGCATGTCGTAAGAGCTGACTAACTGGGAGGCTTCCTTTCAAGTTGCAGTGCATCCGCCTGAGGTGCAAGGAATCAACAAGGAATCATACACATATTTCATATCTGTAAAATGGAAGTGCACGAAACACTCAAGATCTGGAACAAGACTAAAGAACAACCAGAACTTTCCACTGGAGTTTACCAGCAGTGAAAGCAAAGAAAGAAGAAGAGGAAGAAATTATACAAAAGAATTATTTTTTCAAATAAATAATAAATTCAAAGTGCCTACACTGCAGAGGATGGAGTGAGTCAGCTGTTGTAACTCTAACAAAGAGAACTGAAGTCCAGAGCAACAGGGTAACAACCTACATATAAAGCATAGCTATCCACAACAGTGTGCATCCCACCTATACTATTTGTAGTACAAATCTGGCACAGATCTTCTGTGCTTGCCCCTACCAGACCGGTTAACACACTATGTTGTGGTTTACATCACAGCAACAGTTAGCACACTGTGTTGTGGTTTACATCACAGCAACAGTTAGCACACTGTGTTGTGGTTTACATCACAGCTGCCATACCTGCATCTTTCGGATCAACACATCCAATTTTAGTAAATCCATAATTTGTCACCTATCACGACATGATCATTAGAGGGGCAATGGTTTTATTCTTTTCTTTTCTTCACCACAATGGGATCCTAGAACCCAGGAGGATGACTAAGATCTATGATACCAAACTGAACCACCACAATCAGTTAAACATATTGTGTTTTAGACTGCTAGTGCTGAAACAAAACTTCACAGAATATTTTTTTGTCATTAATTTTTGGAGATCCCAAAGGCCAGCCTCTGACACTTCCAAACTGCTTGATAATAAAGAATGTACATCTACGCTGGTATGTGTGAAATATTCCATCTAGTTGGGACTACAAAATTTGCATCTAGGCAGGTCTGTGTGAAATGTTTTGTCAAGTTAACAATGCAGGATTTGCATCAATGCTGGTGTACCTGAAATGTCTAGTGGGAAATACAGAATCAGCATCTATGTTTAAAATATTCTGTCTGACTGAAAATACACAATGTGCATCTATGCTAGTCTGTCGGAAAAGATCTGTCTGGCTTGTTCTGGAATGAAGAACCGCTGAATGGCCTGGTTGGCTGAACAGCTTGGTTGGCAATACAGAAGCTCCATCTATGTTGGTCTATTTGAAATATTCTGTCTGAACTGACAATGTGTCTATGCTAGTCTGTCAGAAATCTTCTGTCTGGCTTGTGTTGAAATGAAGAACTTAGGCACTAGTCGACACTGAAGGCTTTGGCATGCCAGTTAGTTTCCTTCTGGGGGCAGTGTCAGAATATCTTTGATGATGGAAGGAACATCTGGGCCATTTTTCTTCACATCCAGCTCCACTAGCACTTTTGAATGTTCCACACTTATGGTTCTCAAATCTGCCAGCCGAGACAAGATACGGGCTAGTGCACTGCCACCTCGTCCTCGCTTGGCTGCCTCGTATGCCTGCAGTAGCTCCACATACTTTATCTGTATCTTTTCTACAGCATCTCTGGCTTTCAAACCTGGCCGATCTGTGAACATGAAATGACGGATTGAATTCTTGGAAGGAGATTTTCTACATAACTGTTTAATAAATGAAAAACATCCAATATTTCTATACAGCAGTTTAATAATTGAAATGATAACATGCAATTTTTCTACAGAAGAGTGAAAGGATAACAGGTAATTTTTCTATTGTACAGTTAAATTTGTTGAAAACATAACAAGCAATTTGTGTAGAGAACAGTTTAAGAACTGAAAGTATAACATGCAATTTTCTTAACAGAACAGAATTCTGAAGGTTAATCTGTGAAATAATTTTCAATCTGAAACATAAATGCATTATTAATGCAGGTTTCAGATAGACACTGAGGTGCAGTTCCCACAAGAAAGCCTGGCTGCAACAGATCTCCAACAGACTCAGTCTCTTATCTAGACTGTACACTTTCTCAGGCTGTTGTACATATCTTGATTCTGTCTTCCCTCTTGTATCACTGTTTACCTCTTGCTCTCACATCTTTGACATTTCCCTCTAGTATTGTCATTAAAAGACAATTATGTAAAATGTTCATTGTCTCATTTTATGTCTTTCAGCAACTCTCTTTCCATTCCCAGTCTCTTGAAAATCTCTGCATTTGAATCTTTTTGTTTTCAGGAGCGGGTAAGCCAACAATAAAGAAGGGGTGAGGTAACACGCTGAGGAGCTCCCTGCGTGGGTTCCGGGGCCCCACTGTGGGGAAAACAAGAATGGACCCAGGGCCTCCCACAACAAGCATGTCCTAAGAGTTGAATAACTGGAGGCTTCCTTCGAGGTCAAAATGCATCTGCCTGAGAAGCAAAGAACCAACAATCTGCCTACAATTAAGTTAGATCTGTTAAATGGATGTGCATGAACACTCAGGTTCTGGAGCAAGATAAAGTTCAGAGGTGGACAAACAACAACAACTTTCCACTGAAGTTTACAACTAGTAAATGTAAAGAAGAAGTAGAAGAAGAAGAGTGACTGTTTGACAAATGAGAACTGTGTGGAACAATATATACTTAACAGCAGGCGAGGACAGATGAAGAATAGGTGCAGTCATACGAGTGGGTGAGGAGCAAAAGACAAAAGACAGAACTATGGGCCTGAACAGACTAAAACAAGAACAAGAGAAGGTTAAGAAAGACATGACATGTAAGTCTTCTTCTTTTTCACATTGATTACATTCATAGTGTTAACTCTGGTGGAAAGTTCTGGTTGTTCATCCACGTCTGGACATTAGTCTTGTGCCAGAACTTGAGTATTGCGTGCAGATCCATTTTACAGTATGCGTATGCAGACTGTCAGTAACTTGCCTCTCAAGCAGATGCACCAATTTGTCAATTATGACATGCTTGTTGGGGAGGCAGTGGATCTACTCTCGTTTTCTCACAATGGTGCCCCGGAACTCACAGGGAAAGGACAGTGACTGAAAGCAGACACTAAGAAATAAGTGAAGACAGGCACACAGGAATTTATGGAGATCATTAATGAGTGGCAATTGAGAGGTAAGAATACTCATGTTTCAAACAGAAAGACACTGGTGTTGGTCCTTCTCCTGATTCTTTTGCTTTTATCCCTCAGTGAAGTATAAATCCTCAACCATTCTCTTATTCTTTATCCTCTGTTGAAGCTTTATCCACTGTCCGTTCATTCATCTCTGTCTTTAGTTCTCGTCTCTACATGTTTAAAGACCTCCATATAAGTGTGAGTGTGTGTGTGAGTGCATGTTTATACTTTCTGCTAGGTGGATTCCAGACAAAAGACTAACTAGTTATGCTATTTACATGTTTTCTTGTCCTATTTGGTTCAGCACTTTCTCCTCACCTCTTCAATTTACAGGAATTTGTCTAGTTCTCTGCATGAGCTCCACATAATGATACTGACATTCTAATTTAGGCCTTCTTTCTGTGCAGACAAATGGCTATTTATCTCCTACAGTAGGACTAATCAACTGGTGCCCCATAGGCCAAATCTGGCCCACAGAGACCTAACAAATGGCCCTCAGATCATCTACTAATTGTACTGAATTAATGATCTTTCTATCTGGGGCTCTGGCTGACTACCATCTCAATGTTTTTAACATTTTGGCCCTGAGTAAATTTAGTTAAGTGGCACTGTCCTATAGTACTGTACAACATACTGTCTGTCTTTACTGTCAATATTTATCATTTTTGTAGGTTGACGTAGAATTTGGAAAAGAAAAGGCAAGAGGAGCTTTCATAGCACTAGGACATTTCGTGAAAAAAATTACAATGAATACTATACTTGACATGTTTTATTCTAATGTCAAATGAGTACTGCTGCATGAAGCAGATACATGGGAAACAGCTATAACGATTCATGGGGAACAGCTATAACGATTCATGGGGAACAGCTATAACGGTACATGGGGAACAGCTATAACGATACATGGGAAACAGCTATAATGATACATGGGGAACAGCTATAACGATTCATGGGGAACAGCTATAATGATACACTGGAAACAGCTATAACGATACATGGGGAACAGCTATAACGATACATGAGGAACAGCTATAACGATTCATAATAAACTACAAACACTCATCAACTGGTGGTACCTGCGCAGAATAGAAGGAATTAAATGACAATATAGATCATTAATGTACTTTGGAAGAATTAAACAAGGTCCAGTAGAACAAGAAGTGGAGACAAGACGCTGCGAGTGGATAGGATATACACCTAGAAAACCTGAGAACAATATAACTAGAATATCTTTGCACTGGAACCCACAGGAACACAGAAATAAAGGCAGACCCCCCCCCCCCCCCCCTCCCCCAACCCACCCCAAAAAAAACATGAAGAAAGGAACTCGAAAGTAAAGTTAGAAAGATGAGGATATGGGTGAGCTGCATGCGATAGCTTGGAATAGGATGACTTGGTCTGAGTTGGTTAAGGGCCTATGCTCCACTGGCGGATAGAAGGCAGAAGAAGAAATGTGTCTGATGGGGGGGGGGGGGGGGGGTTAGAGACCTGGGGATTTACTAATGCATGGCTAGTCCAGTCACCGTAAACAGTGCAGGTTAGAATTTTTAATTTTGCCCTGGATAGAAAATAAAATAACCATGGCCAGACACCTTTTTCTTCTTCTGCTTTCATGTTTAAAAAGAATGTTCACATACTGTGTTGTTTACAGCCAAACCGCAATACCTAAGCCTTCTAGCCAAACACATCAGACTTCAGCAAACCTTTAATAGTAATATTATATGGGACAGAAAGTCTATTCTTTTGTCCAACCAGGCTTCTAACCTAGGTCTCCTGCATGACATCCCTGCATTCTAACTGTTGTGACAGTGACTGTTCGCAAACATTCAGTAATGAATGTAAACAAATACTGTTTACAATGATTGAGAAACTGAGATGTTGACTAGAAAGACAATCGCTGTAGCATTAAGAAGTCAACCATTGTAGCATTGCTTACAAGACAACCACTGGGGCGCTGCTAAAAACATTGACTAAAAATGACAACAAATGTGGAACAGCTAAGACGACAACCACTGTAGCACTGCTAAGAATGTTGAGTACAAAGACATCCACTGTGGCATTCCTAAAAGCTATACTGGATTAAAGAAAAGAAAAACTGATGTCTGTGATAAGGAAACATAATAATGTACCAACCTGAGAATATACAGATGGCAGTAAATATGGCATACTCAGCGTTATCTGTTTTGTCAGAGGCCATGTTGTGACAAAACTCATACAGCAGCTCACTGTATCGGCCCTGGCCAGCCGCCTTCATGTTATCAACAGTGCAGGGCTGCCCATTTCCAAATATAATGGCACATGACTCCAGATCATAACACCGGGCTGCCCGTATAGACATGACTTCTGTTGATGATGACTGAAAACACAAACACGTGTCACTGATTATACAAATCCTAATGTGGGTTCCAAGACGCGATTTGGGGGAACACAGCTAGACCCACTGCCCCCTGATAAGAATGTCCCAGAAGGCAACTAATTAGTGTTCTTTCCTTTAAAATCGGAGTGAATATGCCTGAGAGAGGTGAAAAACCAACAGTCTGTTTACAAATAAGCCAGATCTGTGAAACGGATGTGCGGGCAGAACTCAAATTCTGGATCAAGGTCAAAATCCAGAGCAGGAGAAACTAAAAGAATTTTCCATCAGAGTTTACAGCCAGTGAACATGAAGAAGAAAAAGAAGAAGAAGAAGAAGAAGAGATTATACAAGCTTTTGTGGCTGCTCTATTACATACTGTATAAGGACAATTTTCTTGCCCTCAGTACAGTGGGCATACAGGGCAAAGCTATATCTTTATAGACCAATTGGTACTCGATCAGTGATCTCGTCACCATCATGCTGTCCATCTTGACATCCAAGATTGATACCTGGTATCAACTTCAAGCCGGGTGGACCTGGGAGCCAAGGTCAATTCTGACAGAAAAAACCTTGAAACCTTGGCCTTGGAGCCAGCTGCCACCTGGACACATTACATAATGTAAAGGATCAAGTTTTACAGTCAAGAGGATCAGCTTCATTGCACTGAATTTTATAACATATGGCTCCACAGAACAGCTAGCAGTCTGCCAACAGCATTGCAGAAAACAATAACTTTGCAGCTCCTCCAGTGATGACCCCTAGGGATCTCCATTTTTTCTTTCTTTTTAATCGCACCCTTCAACCAAAAGATAAGTCAGTGAGAAAAAAAAACTATGACCTTCAGAGTGCAAGGCAAATGGTTTAACCATTTAACACTATGTGATCAATACGGGCTTACCAGCTGATGACAGGTAAACAGTGAGATGTTACTACTATCATCCTCTGTGTACATGTATGTACATGAGGGGGAAAAAGGGGGAGGGGGATTGTGTAAGGGGCAGGGGGATATGGAGAAGGGTGGGTGGATAGATGGATGAAAGGATGGGTGTGTGTATGGATGTATAGATGGATAATGGGTTGGATCAAGAGCTAGGCAGATATTTACCCATATGTGATCAGTTGGTGACATGTAAACAGTGAGATGTTATTACTATCAGCCTCTGTGTACATATGGGGGGGGGCAGAGAGGGGCAGGGGAGATGGAGAAAGGTGGATGGATGGATGGATGTATAGATGGATGAATGGATGGATCAACAGCTAGACAGATATAGAGACAGGTTAGGAAATGAACTGGCCACTCCATCTCTAAAGATTATTATAAGAGTGGGTCAACCACATGGGAGTCACTGTGGTGTGGTGGCTAGATACTCAAATGCGGATCTGAAAGTTGTGGGTTTACATCTGAACTGAAAATCTGACCTTTTTTTTTCTTTCAAATTTGACCCTTTCTCATAGGTTGACCCAGACCTAACTGGGAACTAGGTTAAGTTCTTGAAAGTAAAAGGGCTGGCTTGATGTTGATATCACCCACTGAAGGCCAGTTAGTCTATACAAATATAGGTCTAGCACTACATGCCCAATATGCCTAATGGAGTGTAAAATGGTCAACCCAAAGACAAATTAGAATCCTGCCTCCACTGGGGACTGAACCCAAACCACTTCTTGGTAGGCAAGTGTATTAAATAACCACTGTACCACTTCTTCTAGCTGTAAACTCTGATGGAAAGTTCTGGTTGTTCGTCCACTTCTGCATACTAGTCTTGTTTCAGAACTAGAGTTGTGCATACACATTCATTTTACAGACCTTGCTTATTTGTATGCAGACTGCTGGTTCATATCCTCTCAGCTAGATGCACTGCAACTTTGAAGGAAACTCCCTAATTAATCAACTCTTACGACAAGCATGTGGGGATGGGGTTGTCTATCTCCCCCCCCCCCCCCCCCCCAACCCACAAAAAGGTCACAGAACTCACACAAGGGGAAAATGTGCAAGGAGCGAGAGTAACAAACATATTTAGCTGTGTTAACTGACCTTGAGCAAGGTGATCTGATCGTCCTTTGACAAGGTCAGAAAGCCGGGTAAACCTTTTGCAAATTCTACAATCAGCTGTGTGATGAGTACAAACGTGGACGCCATTGAGCTCATAAATGTTTGCGGGTCAAGAGAGTCACTTTTCCTGGCATCAAAATCTTTCTGCAATATTCAAATAAAATGTTCACCTGTTTCACTGATTATACAAGTTCTGACTGTTCGATTCACATTTAGTAGAAAATGTGAACGAACTACTTAGCACTTAGCTCTTTCAGTATTGGAGACAAGTTAAAATAGTTATGAATCAATGTGCTGTTTGTTCCTTGGTACCGAAAGAGTTAAATAAACAGATTCAGATACTTAAAGAGGAGATAGGCACCACCAAGCAAACAGTTTGCCCACTGAAATGTATAATGGATAATCAGCACAAGAATTCAATGATTAAACCTTTAAAACTATCCAGGAAGCACTGTGTTTGTGGTATATGGAATGTAAGAACGTTATTCACATGTGGAAAAGTTAAAGATACAAATCACTGGTGTTGTCTATTTTCTGATATGGATGTGAGAGTTGGACTCTCACTGTGGAAATGGAAAGGAGAATGTAAATGCTACAGACGCATTTTACTAATTAGTTATTTAGAGCATAAAACTAATAAATATGTCAGAGGCAAAGATACAAATTTGCAGGACATCAGGAGCTTCTCTTGGCAGTGGTGAAACATCATAAGGTAGCTTAGTTTGGGCGTGTGGTGAGACATGATCCGCTGCAACGTCTGTACTTAAAGAAACAGTGGGGGGTAGTCGAAGGAGGGGTGGTACAGGTGGGGTTGAATAACTTAGAATGATAATATCATGAAATGGACATGACTAAGTTATCATACACCACTTATTCATCAAGCAGAAGATAGAGAAAGATGGCGGGTTTTATATGCTAGTACTTCCATCAATACACTTCCACGACTTATGTGATGTGAAAGAGTGAAATCTAAACTGGCCATGAAATGGCCGACTGGCATTCTCATATTTGTTTGGCGGCAACTTTCAGATAAATAAATCAACATTACATTGTTTCTGATCTTTCAAACCAACCTTAGATGACTTTTTATAGTCCATGCCATGTGGTGGAGGTAGTCATGTCTATCGACAACCTTCTGTCTCATGTACTTTCCATCAGTTCTGACACAGATTTGTATGCAAGCCACACCACAGTGACTCGCATGGGGCTGATCCACTATTGTAATTATGGGTCTGTCTTTAGAGGTGAAGTGGCCGGTTCCCTTCCTGATCTGTCTAGCCGTCCATCCATCCACACATCTCCACCACCCCCCGCCCCCCAATCTTCTCACTGTGTCTCCCTCTGCCTCTTTTCCCTTCTCCCACCATCACAATAGACCCAGTTTTCTCCTTCTCAAGACATAACCACAAAATGTAGATTATCTCCAAGATAAGTAGCAGCACATTTCTACACCTTCTATGTCCACCTGCAAGAACTAAGAAAGCATGTTAGGCTTTCTTCAATATATCTTTTAAAAAAACTGTTTATTTTTGGGCACATGGGCATTCCTCACGTAACTAAAGTCTGACAGAATATTTTCAGACATTTAAATCTTACCTGAGACAACCAGCAGAGTATTTACATTTCACCGTGACCATACCAACGTATCTATATATAATATTTCTGAAAGCCCCAAACCTAAGTAAGATATCAAAACACAGAGAAAATAAACAAGTTCTGGCTGTTTAACACTTTCTTATCTGAAAAAAAAAAAAAGAATGTTACAAACCAGTCTGTGACATTTTGACAGCTGTAATAAACATTTGTCAAAATGACAGGAAAACATCCCATGGTATGTTAAACAACAAAAACATCCATAAGTTGAAAATTAAAAAAACTTCATAACAATGTCAAAGAGCAAGAACATCCGTTAAGTTGTGGATGCTTTATGACAATGCCAAAATGAAATGCATCTGTTTAGTTTTAAAAGGATCTATTCTCAAGTTGGTTCTGCAGCCTAGTTTTAGAACAAACAAAGAAAAAAAAAGGAATAAAGGAATAGTCCTAATACCCTCTGGGAGTCGCCGTGGCTGAACGGCTAGACGCGCGCCGCGGATCAAAAGGTCGTGGGTTCGCTTCCTGGCGGAGCCGGACTTTTCTTCAAAAAATGACCTTGGCTCCCAGGTCTACCCAGCCTTGAGTGGGTACCGGGTGCAGTCCCGGGAAGTAGAGGTGGCCGGCGTGATGCTGACCACATTACCCATCTTGTGCCGATTGGTCTATAAAAATATAGGTCTAGCCTTATATGCCCTATACGCCTAAAGGCGTGGAAAGGGTCCTTTACTTTTTTTTACCTAATACCCTCTAGTAAGCACATCATAAAAGGCAACTAATTCAAGATTTGCCAAAATGGGATGTGTGTGGGCCAAAAAACAGAGATATTGTAACTTCACTGTAAATCCAAAAACAATGTCCCAACTGAAGCAGAAGCAAAGGAAGAAGAACCCTGGAAGAAAAACTGTCCTTACCAATGTCTCCTCATAACTCTGTTGATCTGCAAACTCATACTTGTCTTGTAAGGCTACTAGTATCTCGATGAAATCTCGATGTTCTTTAGTCAGCTTCCTCATGGGATCAGTAGAGTCATCTGGCATGGAACAAGGAGATTCTCCCGCATCAGAACAAGAGGATGCCATGGATGGGAAGGTCAGAAAGGAAGGCTTGGTGTCAATGTGCGGCACTAGACTGACAGTGTCCGCTTCTGAGCTGTGACCACCGTAACTGTCTGGGCTGTGTACTTCCTTTTTCAGGACAAACTTTTGTTTGGCTTTACGTCTTGCATCTCTGGCTTTACACTGGTCTTCAGACAGCAAACCTGTTGAGAGGTTTCATGTAAAAGATAACAGCTGTTCAATCATCAAAAGGCTCGAGCAAGTATCTTCAATTATCCAAACAATTAAAAAAAGTTTTTAAAGATAATTTTTTAAAGCGGTTATTACAGAAAGTATTCATTAGGAGAATTATATTTTCTTACATATTTGAATTTTAAACCTTGTCTCTCGCAGTGTATTATGAACTATTTTTCCTTACTTTCTTAAAAAGATAAAAATATTTACCTATGTAAACAAACTATGCCCAGAAACCTGCCCATAACCTGATTCTAAAAGACTCACAGGTAAAAGAAAGATAGATAATAAAGAGAGAGAGAGAAAGAAAGCTGGCCAGAGTAACCCTGCCTTAAAAGACTCAACCTGTCCCACCCAATTAAACCAACCTAACTGTCTGACTGACACTGCTTGGGTGTCTCTGACAGATCCTCCTAGCAAGGCTGTGCACAAGTGACTGAATCTAAGAATTTAGTTTTTACTACATTCCAAACTACATATTGCTTACACAATAAATCTACATCAAGACTGGAAATTTGTTTAAACGTGGGAGCCTCAAAAGTGCCCAAAAAAAATATTAAAATAACCCTGCCATCCTCTTGTGTTAGGCATGTGACATCAAGGTGCAGATGAACACAGTAACGTCATAATGACAAGTTAAAGATGACTGCCCCAGTTCTGACATACACCCTTTAAAGAGGAGCAGCAAACTGCTATCCGTGATTTTGTTTATAAAGGGGTGAAACCTATAGAGATTTATCAGCAAATGAAGGTACAGTATAGCGACATATGACTGTCAGTTCAGACAGGGTATGAGTGGAGCAGGAAGCTGCAATCCACGCTGGGGTCATAACTTGGTGTGCCTGATATGGTCGTTTCGAAAAAATGTCGTTGTTTCGATGGCTGTTGTAAGAAACTGCAATATGGGAAAGTGAGTTTACAGTGGGAATCACGTAATGAACGTGGTAAATACTTGCTTTAGTAAGGAACCATAATCCTTTTACGGACGGCATTCGCAATTGGATGCTTGCCTTAATGATACGGTTTCTGATTAATCCACGCTGCATAATTCATTCAAAATGAATGTTTTTTTTTTTTTTTAATTTGTGCCATATCTGTTGATATTTCTTACACGCTTTTCCAAACATAGCCATTGGATAGGTTTCAAAAATAAAACGCTCATCATACTTATGGCCAATGTGGTTATTGCATCACATTTTGCCGTTTTAAAACTATCAGAGTTAATATAAGAGGTAAGTACTCTTTTTGCACTGAAGAAGATTTTTAAATGTAGTTTTCTGTGTGACCCAGGTCTGACTGAGATTAATCAAAACCTTAATGCCAATGCACGCAACTGTGACAACGATCCCTTCCGGCAAATCCCCGACAATGTTTAAAAATGCTGACTTACATTCCTCCTTCATCCCCACTTCACGACACCGTCGTAGTCGACATGCCTGACACTTGCGACGCATCCACATGTCCATCTCACAGTTGCCGCCATATTTACACACGTATGCTGCTGTCTTTGTGATGCTGCGTCGGAAGAATCCTGATTGGACAAGAGGTACACACGTATATAAGTTAAGCTAAAGTGAAAGTAAGGGTCATTGCCGTCCTTATTAGGATGACATTTTTCGTTATTTGAAGCCCTACTCTGGCTCTTGCCAGGGGCTGCAATATAGCCTGGCCATAAATGTGATCTAATGGCTGAACGCGGTTTCTGGGACCTCTCAAGGGTGATCCTCATCCGCATGGTGGCACATTGTGTCATCGAGTGTTTATCGCTTGTGTGATGTCCTGGTGGTGTAGAAAGTTAGTTAGGTAAGGGTCCCCTTTTTTACTCAGTGGCGCAACCAGCAAATGATGCTGCACTCATACTGTGATAGACCAATCGGCGCTTGGTGGGAGGTGTGTATGGTCAATACCACGCAGGCCGTCTTTACTTTTCCTGACAATTTTTGGTACCCATTTAAGGCTGGGTCGACCTGAGAACCAAGGTCACTTTCGAAGGAAAAAAAATCAGCCTGGATGTGGATATGAACCCAAGATCTTCGGGTCAAAAGGCGAGAGTCTAGCCACAATACCACTGTGGCTCTCCAAAAGTACAGCGCACTAGCAACTGGGCCCTAAATCCCCAGTACCCCGCTTCACTCCTCCTTGCCTAACTGTCAGCCATTACACGAAGACTCACTGATCCTCAAAACGTACCGGCATGGTGAAAAACATTAACGCCGCTAACGATTAAACCAGAATATAAACCAATGACTGGGTCCAAGAGTTTGACAATTAACCAATTAATGGTTCAACAATTTTTTTTTTTTTAAATTTATGTAAGGAATCAAGGATTCAGCCAGTTCTAACTATGGATCAACGAAACTCCTACTGTGATGAGTAAATGAAGTGAGTGGTTCTTCTTCTTCTTCTTCAGCGATCTCTGGTCATGCGCATAATCCACTGTGGGTCATAAACTGGGATGTCTTTTCAAGGTCTCTTAGGTTTCCCCAAAGCTTAGTTGTCAGTTCTACTGGGTGTTGCCATATGTCGCTCCGCAGCTCCGCCAGGAGAGGACAGTCTTGCAGGACATGTTCTGGAGTCTGTTCAGCACGAAGACACTGGCAGAGAGCTGTTTGGCTCATACCTAATTTATATGAGTGTTTATTGAGTCTGCAGTGTCCAGTGCGTAAGCGAAAAACTGTGACTTGGTCTGTTCTGTTCAAGTGCCTCCGAAAAATCTTTTCCGTAGTCATAACCAGTGTTGTTTTTTCCAGTCTGTTTCTGATTTTCTCTTAATGAGAGTTTTGACTTCTGGAAAAGATAGTGGCTGGTAGGTCTGTAGTTTGTTACTGCCTTCCTTGGCTAAAGCATCTGCGCTTTCATTGCCTTTGATGCCGCAGTGAGACGGAATCCACTGCAAGTGAATTTCTGCCTTATTTGACAACATAGCAAGTTCCTGTGTTATACTTTGTAGTGTGCTGTCGGTAGGTTTGGACTCAAGGGCCTGTACAGCTGACAGTGAGTCAGTGAGAAAAACTATCCTGCCTGCGGTGATTTGCAGATTGTTCATATACTGTGCTGCCATCAATAGAGCTGAGAGTTCTGCCTTGTAGTTAGAGCAAGTTCGTCCGGTGGGGGCTGCTAGGGACACAGTAGTGGCATCTGGGTGTTTTATGTAGACACCTGCCCCACCATTCGTAGTTGCCTCTTTTGCTGATCCATCCGTGTAGATTCTTGTCCAGCTGTCCTGTGGGAACATGTTGTTGAGGTGTTCCATTGTGAGTGCTTTCTACACTAAAGCGGGCTCAGCATCTTTGTTTCCCAGATTCGGGATGGATGTTGACACATTGAGTGTCAATAATTCGGAGTCCCAGAGATCGAAAGATAGCTCTTCAGGTGTACATTGTTGGTTAAGTAGTGAAGAGAATGACTTTCCAAATTCCTTCGTTAGATGGTTTAGGCTTGTGCGCTTTATTCTGTTTTTTGTCCTGGCTGCCAATTTTTCGTGTAATGGGTGGTTTAACATTCTCTTCATTTTTTCAGCATATAGAATTGCTTTTGTCCTTCTTCTTTCTTCTAAGGGGATGATGTTGGCTGCCTTTTCCATTTCTACAATAGTTTAAGATTTTATGGCTCCCAGAATTGTACGCAGACTTCTATTTTGCGTTTTGTCTAGTATCTGTTTATTGGAATGGGCTGCTGTTATCCATGACGACGATGCGTATTCGAGAGTTGGTCTGACTGTGCCGGTGTATACCTGCTTCAAGATACAACTGTCTGCTCCCCAAGTGGTGCCTGCCAATTTCTTCATCACACCTTGTTTTCTCATGGCTTTTTTGTTAGTTTCTAGTATGTGATGTTTCCATGTCAGACGACTGTCAAGCTTGACTCCCAGGAAGGTTGGAGTATTGGAGCGTGGAACAGCATCATTGTTGAATTTTAATGTAAACTTTTCCTCCTTTGTAGACAATGAGAAGAGTGTTGCTACAGTTTTGTTCCTGTTTACTTCGAGGCCCCATTTGTTGGCCCAGTTTATGACACTATTCACACTTTCCTGGAGTTTTGATATAGCAGGTCCAATGAACTCAGAGGTGTACCACACAGCTAGGTCATCTGCATGAAGAGAATGTGATACGTGTCTGGGTAAAGTTTGAGGTAGGTCGTTGATGTAAATCAGGAACAGGACTGGAGACAGTACACTACCCTGTGGTACTCCTGCTCTCAGCTTGAATCTGGGACTATGTGCTTCATCTAGTTTCACAGATGCCCGCCTGTGTGATAGGAAGTCTTGTATCCAGTAGTACATTCTGCCTCTTATTCCACTATGTAAGAGCTTTAGCATCAAGCCATCCTTCCATACTTTGTCAAAGGCCTTGGACATATCGAAAAAGACTGTGAGGGTTTTCTTCTTTTCCTGGAAGCCATTTTCTATGTCCTGTGTAAGGTATGCTACCTGGTCATCAGTGCTTCTGTGCTGTCGGTAGCCTGTCTGAGCGGGATCCAGTTTGTGATTGGTTTCTAGGAACCACTGAAGTCTGGTGGCTAGCACTCTCTCCATCAGTTTTGCGGGGCAGCTTAGCAGACTGACAGGCCTGTAGCTCTGAGGGTCCTTCTTGTCCTTGCCACTTTTGAGGATAGGGTGGATTATAGCATTTTTCCAGATATCTGGGACTCTGCCTAGTTTCCAGCTATAGTTGTATATCTGGAGTAAGATGTTTTGTGCTACTGGACCCATATGTTTGAGCATGTCGTTTGAAACTTCGTCTGGGCCAGGTGCCTTCTTTGACTTGAGTTTTCTCATTGCTATTAGTAGCTCAGTTAGAGTGATGTAAGTGAGTAGTTCAACAGTTTTCACTCTGTCGGTACCATGCATGTTAAAAATGTCAGGCGCACCACTATACCTATTTTCTACATGCGGGGACTGGGATGGCCTGAAGTAGCCTAATCCTAGTTTGAGGGCACAATAATAACGTAATGAAAGTAAATAAATATAATAATGCATAAAAAAAATAATATGGCATGCATAAATACGAGTACTTTAAAAGGGAACTTCTATACACCTTTAAAGAGGGCTGTTTAATATTCTTTTTCTTTTCGTTCACCGGAAAGTTCTGGTTGTTTGTCCACCTGAGTCTTTCTCCACAACCTGAGTTGTTGCGTGCACATCCGTTTTACAGATCTGCCCTAATTGTATGCAGATTATTGGTTCCTTGGCTCTCAGGCAGATGCACCCCGACTTCGAAGGAAGCCCCCCAATTAGTCGACTACTATTGGAAGGCAGTGTATCTATTCTTGTTCCCCCTCCCCACCCCCACAATGGGGCCCCGGAAGCCACACGTGGAGGCTGTTTAATGATAAACATCCTTATCACATTATTGGAGAGGGGGTGGAGGGAACTCAGGAGTTAGTATTTCTTGAACACACACAAATTCCAGAACACCAACTTACCTTTACAACCCTCACAACTGAGGGCATTGTAGTGATAGCCGGACTTACCTTTACAACCCTCACAACTGAGGGCATTGTAGTGATAGCCGGACTTACCTTTACAACCCTCACAACTGAGGGCATTGTAGTGATAGCCGGACTTACCTTTACAACCCTCACAACTGAGGGCATTGTAGTGATAGCCGGACTTACCTTTACAACCCTCACAACTGAGGGCATTGTAGTGATAGCCGGACTTACCTTTACAACCCTCACAACTGAGGGCATTGTAGTGATAGCCGGACTTACCTTTACAACCCTCACAACTGAGGGCATTGTAGTGATAGCCGGACTTACCTTTACAACCCTCACAACTGAGGGCATTGTATTGATAGCCGGACTTACCTTTACAACCCTCACAACTGAGGGCATTGTAGTGATAGCCGGACTTACCTTTACAACCCTCACAACTGAGGGCATTGTAGTGATAGCCGGACTTACCTTTACAACCCTCACAACTGAGGGCATTGTAGTGATAGCCGGATGCTCTATCGCCACAGATTCGGCAGAGCTCCTCCTCAATACTCTTGCCCTCCAGGCCGTCGCCTTTCTTCTGCTTGGGATCCGAGGGTCCTTCAAACTCCCCACCCGTGTCCAAGGACTGGTACACGTTAGTGGTTTGACTATGATGAAAACTCATCGATTCCGCTAACGTCAGTTGATAATGACTGTTGTCAGGGGGCATCTCGCCCTCGGGAAGAACTGCAAAGAATTACAAGAATCCATACTGAGATATACAAGAGACCTATAGCTGACTTATGATTTAGTACAGTGTGTCTTATGTGTATGTTTGTGTGTTTGGCTTCACATTCTAGGGCCTTATGGCAATCTATGTTTGATCTTACAGAGAATTCACATCGCAATATACATTCAGTAAATTGAATCATGATCTAGAGAAAGCATAAAACAGAAAATAACTTGTATTCATTTTTCCGCTTCTGCATTCGCTCATAAGAAAGGCGGCTGGCACGTTGTGTGGTGTGTTTTTACAGCTAGGCTGCGATATCTGCATCTTTCCTTCAACACATCCGGTTTAATCAAAACCCTAATTATTCGAGATTTATGAGGTGCTTGTTAGGGGCAAGGATATATTCTGTCCCCCATCTCACCCCCAAATGGAGCAAAATACCCACACCGGAACACATTTAGTTGAATACGACATGATTTATACTAATCACAGCACATGATTATAGGGCCCGGAAACAAACAAAAAAACAAATGGAAGCACACCTAATCAATCAATAAATCAATCAATCAATGAATCGATGACTGGCAAAGAGCTCTTATAGTCCCAATTTGGAAAAGAAAAGGCAATAAGCAAGATTGTAACAATTACAGAGGCATCTCCCTTCTAAGCCACGTAGGAAAAATGTTTGCCAAAATTCTGGAACAACGAATTAGATCCGTTGTAGAACCGATCCTGAGCCCATCACAGGTCGGATTTAGAAAAGGAAGAGGGTGTACTGACGCTATTTTTGCTTTAAGACAAGTTAGCGAAAAGACAATAGAACACAGACATCAAATGAACATCGCTTTCATAGATCAAGAAAAAGCTTTCGATAGAGTAAACAGAAATTTATTATGGAAAGTTCTTGAAAACTACGGTATAAATGGAACAATTTTAGATTGTGTTAGGGCTATTTATAGACAAAGTGAAAGCGCCATTAGAACAAGAGCTGGCATCACAGACTGGTTCCCAGTAACATCAGGAGTTTGTTTGTTTGTTTGTTTTAGTATCCAGAAGCCTTGAGTTGTTAACCCTTAGGCTCGGTATTATGGATATCGCAACCTTTCGGCCTTGATTCCATTGTAAATACCGTAAATCTGGGAGAAAATGTGGCTTTCCTGCCTACCCCCGGGATTGAACCCGGACCACAAGGAGTACGTCACCCGGTCTCCGCGAAATCCGGTTTAGCCAATTCCGCTAGAGAGCCGGGCTAACATCAGGAGTAAGACAAGGTTGTGTATTATCACCTTTACTTTTCATAATATTTATGGACAATATTAATAAAATAGACATAACACCAACAGATGTCGATAAACAGGAGGACTTCAATGAGCTGCTCTTTGCCGACGATCAATGCATATTTCACAGTGATAGTAAACAGCTGCAAGACCACATGAACCTACTACACGACAGTTGCCTCAAGCATCATATGAAGATCAATACTGAAAAGACAGAAGTCATGAGCATAAGTAGAGAGCAACAGACCATCGACATAAAGATTCTAGATCACAGCCTAAAACAAGTGCAAGAATTTAAATACCTGGGAAGTATCTTTACATCCAATGGTAAAATAGACAGAGAGACTGAAGCAAGAATCCAACAAGCCAACAATGTCGCATACCAGCTTGCCCCAATTTTAAAACACCCTGCTGTCCCAGCTGAGATAAAAAGACAAATTATAAATACAATCTTTATACCGACATTAGGTTATCAATGTCAGACTTGGACATTAACAAAAGAACACGAGAGAAGACTAACCACCTGTGAAATGAGATGTTTGAGAATGGCTGCGAATAAAACCAGAAGAGATCGAGTGAGAAACGATGTGATCACAAGAACTATTGGAACCATACCCATCGTTAAATTTATTGAGAAGCAAAGAATGAAATGGTTTGGTCACCTAATGAGAATGGAACCAACGATGCCAGCATCAAGAGCATACAACATGAAAATCGAAACAACAAGAGGCAGGGGAAGACCAAGAAGAAGATGGATTGAAGGAGTCACGGACAACTTGAGACTTCATAACATCACGGCATATGAAGCGACTGAGCGCGCCCTGGCTCGGTTGCCGATCATCTGATAGACTGCGACGCCTAGCGGCACAAGCAGATTTTGACAAAAGAAGAAGAATGAATCAATCAATCGACCAATACATCAATGAATACGTCCTTTACAGAACGTCGCTCTTTTCTCGGTAGGCCTGAAAGTCCCTCTCTTTTTCTAGCCAATTTAGCTAGTGCATCTTCAATGTCCTATCTCCACATTCTAGGAAGTCGGTCTCTACATTGTTTTCCGGAAACCGCACGCCTCCGTCACCGTTTTCTCTAGACCACATTGGGGCATAACATGTCAAAAATACCTCAGCTTAGAGGGGAGGGTGCTGTTTATGAGCCAGTTCTCCTTGATGTTTAAGTCATGCAGGATGTGAAAGTTTTTTTTTTTTTTTAGTCCTGGTATTTTAAGAATTGTTAATTCAAAAGCTCCGATTTTCTACTTGGAAGTCTGAGTGAGAGTCCATGACTCACTTTCATAAGTTGCCATGGAAAAGATGCATCATCTTCAACATTTTTACTTTTAACACCCTACTTATTCAAAAGGTACTTAATTTATAACTTACCCCTGACGTCACGACAACGTCACGGGAGACATTCCCAATAAATTCTAGGGTGTTCAGGTTGTAGTTTCTCGCGATTTATCTACAGCCAAGTTTATGGTTAGGGTTAGCATTAGAAGACACTAGATAAACACTAAAAAAAAAAAACACACACACACACACAACAGCACACTTCCACCCCTTGAAATAATGTACTGTCAGGTCAGCTGTGGATTTCCCACGGGGATTTCGTGTTTGGGGTACGTTATAAATTAAGAACCATTCAAAATTAGAAACGGCCATGAGGCAAAAAGATCAGAAAATAAATCATCTCAGAGAAGCAGAGTGCAAAGTGAGATGGTGGGGTCGATTGGTGACACAGACAAGAAATAGCGGAGTATCAACTGACTTGTGAAGCGATTGTGATAAACATACTGTGTTATATCTCTTGGGATATTTTATAGTGTTCTGGGATACAATTATTCTGCCTGAAGACATATTAACACATCATATGTGTTCTTGTTATGTAATGTTTAACTGAGTATACAGTAAGTGAGGGACCATATTAGACTTTGGTACTTGCGACTGTATTCAGTGACCAGTCGGTGTGACACAAGCATAAGCCTGGCCATTAGCGACTAGCAGTTTAGTTGCTATCCTTTACAGCAGACATGTCAAACAGAGGGTCACTAGAAGGCCATATGGGTGTCATTGTCGGGGCCAGACATGACAACGTGGCAGCCAGACATGACAACGTCGGGGCCAGACATGACAACATGGGAGCCAGACATGACAACGTCGGGGCCAGACATGACAACGTCGAAGCCAGACATGACAACGTTGGGGCCAGACATGACAAAGTCGGGGCCAGACATGACAAAGTCGGGGCCAGACATGACAACGTCAAGACCAGATATGACAACGTCGGGGCCAGACATGACAACGTCGGGGCCAGACATGACAACGTCGGGGCCAGAAATGACAACGTCGGGGCCAGATATGACAAGATCGGTGCCAGACATGACAACGTCAGGACCAGACATGACAACGTCAGGGCCAGACATGACAACGTCAAGACCAGACATGACAACGTCAGGACCAGACATGACAACGTCGGTGCCAGACATGACAATGTCAAGACCAAACATGACAACGTCAGGACCAGACATGACAACGTCATAACCAGACATGACAACAACGGTGCCAGATACGACAACGTCAAGACCAGACATGATAACGTCAGGACCAGACATGACAACGTCGGGGCCAGATATGACAACGTCAAGAACAGACATGATAACGTCAGGACCAGACATGACAACGTCGGGGTCAGATATGACAACGTCAGGACCAGACTTGACAATGTCATAACCAGACATGACAACACCGGTGCCAGACACGACAACGTTGGGGCCAGATATGACAACGTCGGGGCCAGACATGACAACGTCAGGGCCAGATATGACAACTAACTAAAGTCATTAAATAAACAATGTTGCAGCATATTTCCTTCCTGCTGGCTTCAGCTATGCTTTCAAGATCGCGTCGCAGAACCAACACCCAATGCTTCTAGCTGTTTAGTTTTACCAAGCAAGTTTATGTTCAGTAGTTTTCACTTGCTTTCTGAAAAATCGGGGCTCTACATCACTGTTAAATTCACACAAAGCGTTCTGTTGTCAAATCGCCTGCTGCTGGAATCGAACAAGGTATCTCTGAATTAAGAATCTGGCATTAGCAACCTCTAAGCTACAGAAGCCCGTGCATTAACGTTTATCCCTACATTTGTTCAAACTGAATGTTTTATCACCAGAAAGCTTTCCGGATTTGTCCTTCTTTACATTCTGCCACCAAGGCTTATATCAGTGTCCACAATTTTCTTCGTTAATCCTGTTTCACATGAACATAAATTATATGCTCAACACTGCCTGGGTAGCTAGCGACCTAAGCTGGTGAAAACAGTGATTACCAAAGCGGCTCTTTAACTCATCAGTGATAATATTAGCCACGTTTCAGGCTGGCACTGATGGGTAATTTGATTTCAATTATTCATTTCTTTCTAAACCGAGATTTACAAACTGCAGCTAGATCAAAGCCCTATCACAACAAAGATAAATGCAGAGTTTCCAGCGCAAAGTTAATAATGAGAACAGAGCACAAACAACCCTAATCTCAGTATTTACCTGTCCCATGGGAAACGCGCAATGCTGCAAGGGTCTGTATGTGTCAGTGCTAACCATGACTGGCTAGCTTCCCTCTAAGTTATACAATATTGCTTTCAACTCTATCAATCATAGGTAGTTAGTTCAACAAGGTCTTGTCCCAAAATGAGCGTTTTGTTATCGTAATGGAGGTCACCGCACATAAAGAGCTCCCATTTGT